TGTGAACACAGAGGCAGGCATCAGAGCATGCGCCGCACCCCCAGAGAAGCCAAGGCCTGCCAGACACGCCGGAAGCGAGGACAGACGCAGGCAAGGGCCTCCCCCTCAGCCTCGGAGGGAGCAGGGCCTGCCCAACACCTCCATTTCAACTTCTCACCTCCAAAGCCATGACAGAAGAAATTTCCATCGTTTTAAGCAACCCAGTTTGTGGCGAATTATGACATCAGCCTTAAGAAACTAATACAATGGTTATTCTCATAATTTCAAAATTAAATGTGTGCATATTCTGTTCATATGAAGCAAGGTTTTAAGAAAGTAAAACTGCCCATTCTGTTCCATCTAATGAAGATAAGAGAAAACATTTATAGAAGTACCTAAAAAGCTTTAAGAAAACAATTTTCAACTCAACCAATTTTTTGCAATGTGCCTATTCCATCCGTCCTTCTGGTGGTGGGTTCTGTGAAAAATAAACACAGCACTGAGCAGCTACTCTTACAGCAACTGTCAGTTATGAACAAAATACTGGTTGTGATGCTAGTGGGCAGACACTCCATCAAAATAATGGTCTCAGCTCTAACAGAAAAACATTAAAATAAGGAAAGTAACTGTATTTTGGAATATGTAGACAAATTATTAAACCATGGAATCCAGTCCGCAGTCTTTTGTGCAGAGTAGTTGCTCAATGTTTAATGAATAAATACATTGTTAATTAATAATATATTAGGATTATTGATGTTTATGCCTTTTAAGTCTTTGTATTTATAGTTCTAAATAAATCTTCATAGTCAAGTAATCTACATTAGCTCAAAAAATTTGTTTTAGAGAGAGGGGAAGGGAGAGAGAGAAACATTAATGTGCGGTTGCCTCTCATGCATCCCTACTGGGAATCTGGCCTGCAACCCAGGTCTGTGCCCTGACTGGGAATCCAACCTGTGACCTGTTGGTTCGCAGGCTGGCACCCAATCCACCAAGCCACACCAGCCAGGGCTAACTCAAAATTTTTATTTGAAGGAGTTAAGTACATATGTCCATTCAAGACTTAGTACATTTATTTGGCAAATATCTGTTGAGTACTACTACAGCCAAGGAGTTATGTTTGGTTGAATGATTCAACAACGAACAATAAAAAGACACGATCCTTGCCTTCTCGGAGCTTCAAAGATGGGCAAAAGGAGATGGATGTTACACAGCTGCGGCCTGGTGACAAGGAAGAGCTGAAGGCACTCAGTGCGGCCCAGTCTCATCTTGGATAGGGACTGAAGCCAGAGTGCCGGCGAGGAGCCCTTTCAGAGTATTTATATTTGAAGTTGCTAGATGAGTAGCAATTTGTACTTCCACTAGGAAGTACAAAACAAGTACAAAGGGCATCTGAAGAACAGAGAGAAGGCCAGTGCGTGTGCAGCCCGGCCCACCAGGAGGATGCAGAAGGATCTAACAGCAGCAGACTGCAGAGGGCAGCATGCACAGTCACACCAGTCTCGGTCTCAACGGCCTTGGGCGGATGTGGCAGCCGTACCCTCTCGTCCAAACTACAAGATTTTTAAAATGTGAGTGCCAGATTAAGGTGGCTGACTAAAACTCCACACTTGTTTAACTTTTCCTAAACTCTAACCAAAATTACAGTAAAGAGATTTAAAAACAAAAAACACAAACCCATTCAACAGCAACAAAGGTACAGAAGCTAAAGTTCAAATGAACAAGAAGTAACTAACTTTATATTTGCAATATGGTCAAAACCCAGGCCTTGAGGAGAAAAGCTAAGAACCCACCTAGCAAAGACTATAGAATGCTCAGAAACTGGTAATTCCAAACATGTCTATAGCCAGTAGTGAATGGAAGTGCATAAAAGAAGAAGTCTGGGGAACTCTTTGGGAAGCAGCTCTTTGGGAAGTATCCTCCCACCCCCAAGTCTGCAAGGCCACGACCTCCCCCAGCCTCCTCTAAAGAGGATGAAACAGACGGTCCTTGGCCATGCGTTTGGCACATAAGCACTCAGTGCCCAACCCCAGAGCCCTCTTCTCACTACTCAGAACACCAGCAACTGGACCTGAGCCCTAGGCAAGAAGCTGACCACCCTCCACCCGCTGGAAAATCAGCTAAAGCTAAACACCACCACACAAAGACGGAGCCCTCCAAGGCGACCTTCAGTGACCAGCTCTGACCCAAGAACAGATGGTCAAGGGTTTTCAGGTATCTGAGGAAAGCCTCTAACAAAAATAACAGAAACCCAAAGCAAGGTGGAGCAAACAAATCACTCAGGGAGAGAAAAACTTAAATCATTAATTCCAACAACATAAACTCATGTTTCCATGTCAGGAGAACAGGAGGCTACATAAGCAGTTCATTCAGAGACAAAATGCCAAACAAGCATTCATAAAACATGCCAGCACAAAGAAGTTGGGAGAACTTCTGACAGAGGTGTGAACAGAAAAGGATGTTCTTAAAAAGAAGAACTGAGGGAAAAAATTCTAAATCCAGTATAGGAGTACCATACCCATATAGGCACAGATCAAAAAAGTAAAAGAAAGAGGGGTAGAAGATAGCATTTTTTAAAATATATTTTATTGATTATGCCATTACAGTTGTCCCGCTTCTCCCCTTCATTCCCCTCCCCCACCATCCCCCCCAGTTTATGACCATGTGTCACAAGTTCTTTAGCTTCTACATTTCCCATACTATTTTTGCCCTTCCCCCCCATCTATTTTCTACCTACTGTCTATGCTACTTATTCTCTGTAAGATAGCATTCTAAAAAATATATCCCTAAATGAAAGGCATGCATTGTAGATACCAGAAGTAAACTAGCATCACAAGAGGACACTGGACGCCCACCAAAGCATGCCATTGTGAAATCACGGAATGATGAGAAAAAGAGAATATAAGATTCCAAAGGAGGGAAGGAAAAAATGGGGGCATTGCCTCCAAATTCAAACCTAGAATTTTGTATCCAAGCAAACCATCAGTGAAGCAAAAGGACAGAAAAAGCCACTTTCTTTCAGTGGAAGTGAGAAAAGATGTGTGGGCCAACATCACTAAGGTGTCTTGTCACATTTTATCAACTTTGTAACCTGAGGATCAAATGCCAGACCAAGACTATTAACATCTGGACCTTTCTGACCACAAACGAAACAAGCTCCCTGCCCCTGCTCTGGGCCCAGCTTCCCGGAGCAGAGGAGAACACTCAATCCACTGCACAGAAATGCTGGGCTTGGGTCTATTCCTGAGCTGCAGTGATCCACAGAAGCAGAAAATATGAACCAGCGATTCCTGCCCATACTCTTGTCTAGTAACTGGAGCTCATGCTACAACTTTGGCAGATGACCCAACTACGGCATGTAATTTTCTTAAGATTATCTCATGACTTTGCCCACTCAGTTTTCTTGTACATTGTAAGGAAAAGCGAAGGCAGCTGAAAGCAGCCTCTCTGAAACAATTAGGATTGTCAAAGGTAAATACTACCACGTTCAGGAAACACACACAGCTGTAACACCACCAAGGGAAGCAAGGAAACGGTGACCCTGGCAGGGCCAGGAGAGAGGATGGGGGCAGGGGCGGCAGAAGGCTGCCAGTGACCCGGCGGCCTCCCACGCCACACGGCAGGGCGGGGGTTCGTACTGTCATGACAGTACTCCTTAAACTCCTCATGTGTGAATGACATACTACAAAATAAAAGGCATTTCTTCAATGATGAGGGACAGGATCAGCTTTGTACATTTGAAGTGTTACTAAGGCCACTGTAAAGAGAGTGGGCCGAGGGGTGAGGAGGACGGGCTGGACTGAGAAGAGGCGGTGGAGGCAGACAGGTTACAGAAGAGAGAATGCTGTTCTTCTTCTTCTTCATTATTATTATTATTATTATTATTATTTGAAGGGGGAGAAAAGACAGAGAGAGAGAGAGAAAAGAAAGTGAGAAGGAGAAACAAGAAGTATTTGGTCAGTTAGCCAAAAAGAAAAAAAGCCCAAAATAATGTTCATGGTCAGCGATCACTATTGCTAATGACATGTCATATTTATACTGTTCCTCCAGTACAGTAGGCTCAAAATACTGTAAAGGTCATCATTCAATTAAATTTCAGGAAAAAATTATGAAACTAGTTTCAAAAGAGGCCTCAGAAGTCCAGTGGTACTGAAAACACAAGTACTACCGGGAAGGCCCGTGATTTGCTGTGACGGGTTAAAATTCGGAGGGAGGACCTCAGTATAAATAAAGTTCAGGGCGCCACTGCCGCAGCCGGGTCCTTCACTCTTGCTGCACGTGGTACCTGAACACCATTTCAATTTTGTTTTTGGCAAGGAACTCCACAGCACTGCAGAGATGTGCCTTTTGGAACGGAAAACCAGCCCACGCCAGCCTTCCACAACCGCACTTGGTGTTCCATCAGAGAGCGCTGCGGTGCAGCTTTCCCACACATGGAAGTTCCAAATAAGAAGAGCTCCTCTTAGAATTTCCTCTGAGCTGAACAGATCATCCCTGCCCAGAACTTAATATTCTACTTCATATAAGCTTTAAGCATGAGTTTAAAAGTGCTGAGAACATGACGACCCATTTCAGCCACCATATCTTCCCTTCACACCCTGCCAGTGCCTCGGAAAGCGCTGCCATCCCACAGAGGACGTGCGAGTTTCCTGAGGCATCAAGGAAACTGAGCCACCAAGACAAGCCCCGTTTTCTATTATTTTCACCAAACAAATGTCTAAAATAGACTTGCTCTATTTTCTTTTCTTGATAAGGAGTATGGAAGTAAAAATGAGATTCTACAATAATACGTTATAGAGAAAAACAGTAAACCTGAAAATTTTTAATTCATATCTTGTAATATGAATCTTTGTGAAGATTCCAAAACATGGCAAAATAGACCAGGTAACATTTTAAACATTTAAAATGGAAACTGGCCAAGATGGTAGCTTTTTAAATAATGAGAAGTAATTTGATATAGCAAGCTTTTTTACACAGTTTATTCTTGACAAGAGTGGACAAATTGCTGTGAATCCACATCTTACCTTAAAAACTTCCATTGGAAGAGGAAACTTTGCGGCATCAATAAGGGATTTTTCCAGAGCATATTTCCATTCAGAGGTCATCTTCAAAGGATAAATTTCTGTATCAACAGCAAACCACACAAGAGTTACAGGACTAAAATGTTCAAATGAGAGGTTTTTTTCTTGAATTTAATCTTCCCAGGATTTCATAATAAGCCGGTATGCTCAGCAACCATAAGAATTCACACCCTGCCCGCCATAAAAGGCCACCTGCTAAAGGGATTTTCTGAAGTTAAATAGCAACTTGGGATTCTGCTTTCAGAAATGAAGAATAAACTTAATAGGGCTCTTCTTCAGGGAACATTTGCATGCATTCTGTTGGCATTCTGTAAGTAATTTAATGGTGTAAATCACATTAGCAACATCTTCAGTCATCCACTGCCCCAAATTTCGTATATTACCTGGGAAGCAATATCCAGTGATGAAGAACTTATTATCCGATAAATGGCTAAAGTAGAAACGACTCTTGCCTGGCATTTGCAGTTATTACAGCATATTTTTCACTAAATCTCTAAGCTCTCACATGCTAAAAATAGTCCATGTAAGTCAGAACATTATTAAAAGGTAAATTAAAATTTACCAACCAAGTTTAATATTTACACTTGAAATGTTGCTAACACGCCACATGTTACCCACCATTTTCCCCAGGCGGTGGCGAGAGAGGGATTTACAAATGGACGTTTCACTGTCTGAATGCAAAATTAAAAGAAAAAAATGGTTGAGCACTGTTTGTTGTTCACCGATTGCTGAAACTGCAGGGAAATTTTATGACCTGATCTCAACAGATTTAAGACCTTATCAAAACTGGATTTGCAGAAGCACTCACTTGAAGTAGATATGTTTATACCTTCCCTATATCAACCTTGGCTACCTCAGACAGACAGTTAGGGTATGAATATGAATCTGAGCACAGTGAAAAGGCAACATTAAACCTCTGGGGCTGTATTTTTAATTTCCTGCATGTCTGCTTTTTAGCATGAAGCCATATATTTTGATTCTCACCCTTTCTGAACTCACCTTGAGCCAGAAGCCCCTGTGTTTTAGCCTTTTATGTAGTCTTTCCAGACTACCATAATTTGGGGAGGCGAAAGACGCTGCCCAAACCAGCCGAGTTATCAAGGCTCTGCCCACTTCATTCATTGTCAGTTACACAAAGGCGCAGAAAGGGGTACTGATGACGAAATAGGTTCCACTGTGTGTCTTGTCTAGAATCCTTTTTAGCATTTCATTTATACTCTTCTACCTCTGAGACTTTTCCCCCCAATCTGACATTTCTATGTCAGAAAAAAATAAAATGTGATTCTTCTGAGGAGTATCTAACATATTTGGGGGGAAACAGTGGGGCTCCCATAACATCTCTACAGAGAATGAATAACGTGTTCCTCTAGCCTCCTAAGTGAGAAGGGGGTGGTGCTATGTGAGAAATCCCTTATCACGGGGTTCCACAAAGGAGAAAGAGGGACAAGGTCACAGAGACCCATCAATAGTCCCATGAGAAGTGGAAGGATCCATTGCAGTACCCAGTGGTTCCGCTCAAGGGCGTGACATCAAAATTTTAGTGAAGAGGGTGAGGTCTGCAGAGGACAAAGCCAGGAGGACACCAACTGCAGCCATTCGATAGGTCAGCAAACAAGCAAGAGCCTGGTCCTGAGGAGATGAGAACAGATGCCCTTTTCCTGGGATCTGGAAGCAGGCACCAGGGGGTTCCACCACAGCGTGGTAAGAAAAGGAGACCTGAGTCACAAGAAAGGATGGCAATTTCCAAAGACAAGACCCAAGGAAGGGCGTGCAGACATAAAGGCTGAGAAAAGGGGAAGAAAAGGTCCACTGCGGAGTTGCCCTGAGCTCCTGCAGTCTACCACTGAAGTCTCTAAGGCAGGGGGAAGAGACGGAGAGGAGAGTAAAAGAGGAGTGGTTAAAAACATTTCTCAGTGTCGGAACAATGAAAACCCCAAATGTCCAGGGTTAGATCAAACTACGAAAACAGAAGGAAGTGATGTGCAGGCTCCAGGTCATCCCAGATGCTCACCAAGTCATCCAGAAAGCGGAGCCCTTGGTCACCAGATGCCACCTCTCTCCCACCAAACCAGAGACAAACGTAAAAAGAAGCCCAGCGCAATGCACAGAATGTCTGCCACCCCCCCCACCAAATCCCTGTGTTGAATGTCATACCCCCCATGTGATGGTATTCAAAGACGGAGCCTTTGGGAGGTTATCAGCTTGTGCAGCTGGAGCCCTCATGATCAGATCAGTGCCCTACAATAAGCACAAAAACAAACAGAGAGCCCTAACCCCTTCCACCAGGTAAGGACACAGGGAGGGGACAGCCATCTACGAACTAGAAAGAAAAGCAGACCAGACACTAAATCTTCCCATGCCTTGACCTGGGACTTCCAGCCCCCAGGACTGGGAGAAATGAATGTTTATAGGCCACCTAACCTGTGGTATTCTGTTACAGCACACAGAACGGACCAAGACGCCCAGGTTTGACATGATTTCTGTCTCTGTCCTACAGACTTACACTTTGTCTTCTTTTGGTGGGTATTAATTCCTAACATGGAATTTAACCCCATGGTAAGGCACACTTCTTCTCTTAAAAGGTGAAAATCAACTTCATTTTGTCAGTATGCTCAACCATCTGCAAAAGCTAAACACCTCGTGGTTTCAATAGGCAAAGAACAGTATTCCATGTGTGCGTTTCATTAGACAGGAGGCACGTGGTTACATTGGCAAGTTTATGGACAATAAATAGCACCATTAAAAGAACATAAAACATTTTCTTAAAATGATCGTGTTGCAGGTAATTTAACAGAGTGTATCGTGACAATTTCTGTTTGCGGGGAAGCCATACGCAATTAAAATCCCTACTGATTCATCTTTAACTAGAAGCCTAAGTGAAAAGGAGGCGATCTCCCTCTGTCAAGTGTGTGGCAGGCTGACTGCACTGAGAGCTGCAGGATGGAGCAGCACACAGAATCATCACGTCTCGGCCTCAGAGTAAGGAAGGCCTCCAGGGGCGGTTCCTTCCTTTCACACACCCCGAAACCTCCACTCCTTCCTTTTCCACCAGGTTCTGACCAGTGAGGGAAGACTAAGCTAGGGTTGTTAACAGACATTGGAAAATGTTATGGACTGAATGTTTGTGTCTTCCCCAAAACCATAACTCCCAATGTGACGGTGTTTGGAGATGGGCCTTTGGGAGGTGATTGGGATAGATGAGGTTATGCGTGTGGAGTCCCACAATGGGATTAGGGCCTTTTAAAAGAAAAGACCAGTAGTCTTCTCTCTTCCGCACTGCTCCCCCCCCACACACACACACAAAGAAGAAGCCATGTGAGGACAGACCAAGAAGGAGGCCGCCTACAAGCCTGGAAAAGAACCCTCACCAGACCCAACCATGCTGACACCCTAACCTTTGACTTCCATCCTCCAAAACTGGGAGAAAATAATTGGTGTTGTTTCAGCCACTTGTGCTGGTGCAGCCACCAGTCTATGGCATTTTGTTATGGTAGCTGAGCTAACACAGAGAGCAACAGCTCTTGAACTAAGAAAAGGTTCAGACAGGAAGCATTTAAGTTAGACGCAGAAACTTGCTGACTCCAGGATCTATCTAAAATAAGAAAGAAAAAATTCTTTAAGGTTGACAAAGATTTTGAAGGAAAAAAATATGGAAAAAAATTTAGGAGTAGATTAAAAAACTCCAAAAAGTTTCATCTCCTTAGCTTCTGTAAGAACATGCATGACCCTCTCTTGCTTTCTAAACATCTGGTAGGGCCTCCAAATGATCAGCCTCAATGACTTAAATTTCTTAGAGAACCAGATATAACCGTAATACCCTGACCACAGATTGAATGCCTAGAAAACACCATCACTTGGGGGTACCTATAAACATTCTGCAAGACAGCAAACATAATTATCCCCATTTTACAGATGAGGACACTGAGGTTCAAAGAAGTAGAATCACTTGCCCAGGGGCCCTGTAGCTAGTGACAGAAGCAAAAGGTGAAGCTAACTTGGATCTTGATGACAAGTTCATGTTCTTTCTACTTTGCCAGGTTTCTCCGGCTTGAGTCACACATGGACTTCTTTAAAACAGCAAAGACTTTCATAAACCGCACTGACCATATTCCTGTGAATCTCCCATGTCCCAGAGCTGCCTTGGCAGCTAAACAAGAGATCCCATCAACAAAGAGCACCACTCCTTGCTCTGACCCTGTTTTCAAAAGCTCCACTAACACATCAGGAGAAAAGAAGACACTTTGGGAACATCTCCACTCTGGGTCCTCCCCTCCAGATTCCCTTCCAAAGTTCTGACAATTATTTTGGACTAGAAGGTGGACTTGGCTCCCTACAGACATACCTGACATCTTATTCAGTTAATTCCTATCAAACAGGCCAGGTACCTAATATGTGCCAGGCGCTGTGCCAGCTACTGGGGAGAGAGCAGCGCAGAAGGTACAGACTTGCAGTTAGAATGGACGGTAACACCATCTCGCAGCCTGAATAAAGTGAGAGAGTGGGCCACACCAACAGCATCCCCAAAAGGGACGTGCTTGTAAGCCCATGGAACTGAGGAGACCAACTGCTGAAAAATAAATGAATGGAGCCTGCTGGGGCTATGAGGCTGGAGAGGCCCTACAACTTGCCCTCCATTCAGCGCAGAAGAGAGAGCACTGCCAGGACTGCCAGTCCTCTCTTCATAAAGGCTTCACTTCGGACCCTGGGAAGCCACTGCTCCCTTCCATGACTATGTGCCTTTTACCACCTTCTCTTCCCTTACAACTTTGTTCACTGAGGCTGCATTCAGCCCACTCCGTCAGCACCTGTGTGATGCCTTGACAGCCCAGTTGAGTGAAGTGGGGTGGCTTCTTTGCCTCTTTCTATCCTCCCCACCCCAAGCTATTTCTTCTGATTTGCAGCAGAGAAAAAAAAAGGCAGAGTGACTACAGGGTTCTCACTGGTGGACAGAGTAAAAGCCAGCCCCTCTTCCTCAAGTTCTGAAGACTACCTTCCTAGCTCCTGTCTACTACCTATTTCTTTTACCTCTATTTGCACTGAGCATTTGAGAACTACTGTACCCTTTAAAAAATAGAAATAAGTAAAACTAAAGGAAGAGAGCTATGACTACTTTTAGCAATGGTGGTAGTGTTACTGGGGTGCACGGCAAAGAAGGCATCAAGAGCAGAGAGAACACACAAGGGCTGGTCTCAAAGTATAGCCTCCCCCACTTCTTCCAACTCTGCTCCTCACCACCAGTTAATGCTGAACATTTTTCATTTACTTAAGGGTGTTGGGAATTTTTTCAAAAGTAGCCTCATATTTTCTATGCAAGCCTGAAATTTTATTCCTATCTCTATTTCAGTTAGGGAAATAGCCCTGCCATACAAGTTCTACAAGTCACACCGGGACTTGAAATTCATTTGCACAAACCCAGAGCACCAGGTTCTGCTCCTATGTGTGAGACAGTAACAGCTTCCTGGGGTGCTGCTCTGCTGAATAAGGTAACCAAACCCAGTTTTTGTCTTGTAACTACTACATTTCAAAAACGAAAAGTCACATTTTGAGTGTTGTTTCACCTTTTATTTTCTTCTTCACATACGCAGCCTTTCTTGCTGAAAATTTAAATGTTGGGAAAATAACTTCTTATGGAAGAATGACTCAAAGTTTTTAAAGACACCCACAAATTCTTCAATGAAATGGACAACTCACGTCCAGAAAATTACTAAGACAAGGAAACATAATTTGTCCTTATCTTATTAAGATATAGAATTATGTGAAAGAGGAGAGGTCTCATATGCAAATACTTCCAGATTTCTACCTGGACACTTTCCATTTTCCACCCACGCTTTGCATACTACATCCATTCACAGGGAAGAAACATTTCAGAGAACCTAAGGAGCTACTAGGAATCCTTTGCTTTGCTATAAATTTTTACACTGGCAAATATATGTTTCCCCTAAAATTTATAAAGCAATTAGATACTAAGCTAAGAGTTATAAACCCAGCTTCCCACACAAAATAAATTTCTCCTGCAGCGTTATGAATCCCAAGGCAAATGTGAGCTTAGATCTCTCCTCAGAAGCTGACAAGCCCTTTGTTTGTCATCAAAGTCCAAAATTACTCAGGGTGTAAATGGATTTCTTGGCTGCTTCTCAAAACTCTGACAACAATAATACCAATAAAGTTCCACGCTACATGTCTATATGCCTGTCAAATTCAACACAAATGCAAACACATGAGATACAGAACCAGGAAGTTTTTTCAATTAAAGCCCTTGAGTGACAGAAAAAGGAAATACAACTCCTCAGCTTCATTTCATTTACTCAAGACTAACAGTGACAACTAATGCAGGAAGGAAATCTCTGGCAATTTTAATAAAACAAAGAGTCAGGTCCTTGTTTCCAGTAAACCTGCAGAATTCACCAGTGTGAAGATCAGCATTTCTAGGGGAAATGCATGTTTCTTCCTTTGCATCCTTAATTTCATAAGAATCCAACATTTTTGTTCTGAGGCTATCCATCCAAAGTTCGGTGAGGCCAGTAAGGGGCAGCAGGGGAAAGCGAATGGGCAAAGGACCTGGGATTTAATTACAGTACATCCCACCCCTTAATAAGCTGGGTCACCCTGGATAAGTAGATTAAACCCAGTCTCAATTTTCTATGCTGTAAAAGAAAATGTTCACACCAAACATGTAGTACTTTTTAGGAATCAAAATAAACAACATAGCAGATGTAAGATCACCTGGAACATAGTAAACATTTAAGAATTATTATTTTGTAAACACTAAAATTACTGCCCAGTTAGGTGTGTCAGAAAGCATAAAGCACTATTCTACCCAATTAAGGCTATGGAAAGTCACCTGGCAATGCATTTGAAGCTAATTAAAATCTCTGTTTTCTATTTCCAGGTCAGAACAGATTGTTCAATGATAAGCATTTGGTTTGGATATTCAGAGGGATGAATGGATAGATGGAGGAAGGAAGGATGGATGGATGGTGGAAGGATGCATGCATGCATGAATGGGTGGACAGATGGAGATTTGGGAACCTTCTTGCAAGACTATCAAAATCCCCAAAGAAAAGGGGAGAATATAACAAATTCCAATCCATTGTTTTTCATTTTTGAACCAGTGATTCCAGGGGAACTAGATCCATTTCACCACAGCCTCCAACACAATTTTCTCCTTTTAGAACACTATTAATTGAAGTCTTGGGTTTTAGTCTCCACAGAAAGTATTCTTAAATTAAAATGCTTAATATTCACATATTCAGATGTACAAGGTACCACAGAGCTCATCAATTTTTCAGAGACACATACAGAAAAAAAAACACGTCTTTTTCTCAAATAATTCACGGCAGCAAAAGCATCAGCCCTTACCTGAAGGTGGGTCCATTCTGTACTTATTCTCTTGACACCAACCAACTGGTCGAAGTCTGTAATCCAAGTAAAACAACCACTGGTCATAGGATTCAGTGTCCTCCAATCCCACATAGCGAAGGCGTAATCTTCCTCCAACATTTTCAATCACACTAACTATCCAGTACTGAAAAGGGTTCTGAGAATCCTGAAGTTCTATTAAGGAATCAACTGTAATGAGGTCTATAGGGCCTTTCCCTCGCAGAGGCTGTTTAAACAGAAGCAAAACTCCTTATTTTAAACTTTATTTTAAGGTTCTCATGGAAACAGATGACAGCAGAAGATAATATTTTTTCACACCATCATCCAAGCTATTGGCAAACAATCTGGTGTCCCCCCCACCCCCATCCTCTCCACAGACGCACCCCGCCCCTTCCCTCCCCACCTACACACACTTCCATATCCCCAACTCTGTACCCAACAACAAAAATCACAAGTCAGTAAGAAATAACAGTTCGCGTTCATTCTCACCAAACAAATCACCCTTCCCAGATAAAATTGCATTTGTTAGAAATGAGAATGCTTTTAAGAAGAGTTATACCCAAATTTGCCTTGAGCTAGAAAGGGTGTAGTAGCAGAACGTCTGCTTTTCAAATAGACAGAAATAACAAACACAAAGCCACAAGTTTAAACCGGGGCTCAGCAGACAGGTGCCTTACGACGGCAACTGCTGTAATGACCAAGCAAGCCCCTCTCTCACACTTTGATTACGTGCATAGAGCATGAATATGTGTAGATGGCATTTTTAATATACATTAATGACACACATGAAATTAAGATTACTATGTAAAGTTATTTTGACATTTAACTTGATAGTTGGTTTAGAGAATATATGTAATTACTGCTCTATCTAAGCAAGCTTCTTAGCATGTGTTAGCATATGAAAAGGGTGTTTGTTCAGTCAGGCTTGTAGGTAAATATGTTTAAAAAAAACAAACCTAAAAGAGTACAAGTTGTTCTTTTAAAAGGGTGAAAAATCATTATTATAATTTGTTAACCAAACAATTACATTAGTAACCATTAAGACAAACAAATACACCAGGCAAAATCTTCACAAAACCAAACCCTGTAACCCAATACATTAGACAGTGATGTTCCAAAGTATCAACATCTTTTATGAGAAAAGGGAAATTTATGAAAGGTTAAGAGAATAATGACATTGTCAAAATCTGCACTGTATTCCTTGTTATTCATTGTCTTTCCCCACTTTTCAGGAGCATTCTTCAAACAGATTTGTTAACTCAATAATTATTTATAACACAATACATCTCTTCCTGTTCTATAATATACAGTAAAAGTAAAATGTTTCATCATAAAATTATTTTCAAATTAACCATCAAGATATCAAACTATTTTTTCAGTATTTTAAATTACCTTAATCACATTTAAATATGGTTAGGCACTAATTACCTTGTTTTTATAAGAGAAGTTAATTCAATCATTACTTAACACATGTATTTCAATCTTGGGGTTATGCATCCAGAATGGAATAGTCAATGGTGCTATTTATCAGTATACTCAGAGACTATACTAGAGCTTATATATGCTTAGTTTCACCTACACAAAACGGTTATTCTACAGAATTTGATTTACATTCATTAATATAAGGTCAAGGCTTAAACAAACAGGATAGTGAGAAGATAGTTTAACACTATTATTTAAAAATGTGTTCACATAGAAGCAACTTTCCCATTAATTGATTGTACTACAGATAAAAAATTTAAATGCCATTAGAATCAGTAACCTGAGTAACTTAAAAAAAACAGGAAGTTAGGCTCTTTGGACACAGATGCCTGAGCATACACATGTACCTGCAGAAGGATATATGCAAAGGTGCTGTTAGGGTTGCACTCAAGTAACTGTGAAGCTTCAGACATAGAATAGCTGTAAACAATAATACATACACCTTCCAGGAGGTTGGCAGGGGCTGTCCGGGAGCCAGTCAAGTCACGAATGAGAAATTCGGTCCAGTCTGTGTACTTTTCTTTGATTGCTGGTGAGACAAAAGAGAAAAAACATTTTTCAACACCACCCTAGTATCAAATAAAAGCACAGCACTTTCTTGTAGATGCGTTATTTCAATCTTTCTCTTAATTTTAAGCGCCATTCTTAAGAACTGAAATCACAACAATAAATCTGTCAACAATGGGTGACTTCATACCTACCAGGTGCCTCGATTTTGCTGGGCAGGAAGGAGATTAAATAAGTGCTACTGAAGTCTTACAACTTATTTAGAGACTTCTGTGAACAACAGTTATTATAAAGTATGTAATTCAGCTGGTTCCAAGAAGAAAGAGATCAGAGGGCTAGAAGAATCAGAGAAAGTTTCCCAGGTGAGAAAATAAAACCAGGCTCTGAATTACATAAAAGGTGTATAAAGGCAAAGAAGAGGAAGAAGAGATTTTCCGGCTGAGAGGAACAACACGTGCCAGTGAGAGAGACGAAGTGAGAGGGGGGAAGGGAGAAAGGCAGCAGGGTCCCCTTGGATCTGGCAGTCTGAGCACACAGCCCTGGGAAAGTGTTAGGTGGTGGAGTATAATTAGGGACAGTCCCAAAATGTCAACAAGTGTGTTCAATAAACAGGAAAATCTTTGCATAAAATGAATCTGACCAATTTTTCAAAAAATGCTTGAATGGAAACAAACTAATGGCAGAAAAACCAAGAGAGAAGCTACTGCAGATAGAAACTAAGTACGAGTGACAGGGTCCAAACCAGGGGTGACAGCTCAGTGAAAAGGAAGAACTACATCAAAGACATCTTTTGAAAAAAGAGGTATCAGCCCTGGCTGGTGTGGTTCAGTGCATTGAGTACTGGCCTTCGAACCAAAGGGTCTCTAGTTTAATTCCCAGTCAGGATACATGCCTGGGTTGGGGGCGGGGTCCCCAGTAGGGGGCGAGCAAGAGGCAACCACACATTGATGTTTATCTCCCTCTCTCTCTCCCTCCCACTCTTCTCCCTCCCTTCCCTACTCTAAAAAATAAATAAAATGCTAAAAAAAATAAGAGAAATGTCAGACCTTCAAGGCCAATATTCTACAAGTGCTTAGAAACCAAGACCTGAGCAAAATGTAACTTCCTGGCTAATCTCCCAAGCTGCAGACCTCCAAAGCCTTCATCAGGTTACATTCACACCCAGGAAGGCCCTGAGCCTTCCAGGGGCACCACAAAACCAGCAACAGGTGATTAGCACTCCCCGATTCCCATCCCCCCACACACGATCCTGATCTTCACATCACATGAAGAGCCTGTGGGCCTGGGTACTACCTGGATACTGCCTGGGTACATCCAATACTTAGCATTTCTGAGAGGTTCAAGACTCAAGTGGTGTGTAGATTGTTTAGGTACTTCAAAAGCATGATTCCTAGATCAAAACTAAAGGGACAGAGTTATTATAAAAGAACACCATGGTATCGATATGGGAAAAGCAAAGTCATGGTGTGGGCAGGATCTGGGCAGGATCTGGGCAGGGTGGGCTCTGCCATCCTTACGATGTTGAGTAATTCATTCCAATTTCTCATATGCTCTGTACTCATCAGTATAATGGTGCTTACAACATTTTGTTTATAGAATGCTATTGGAATTAAAAAAGACACACATGTCCATAAAATATAACCACATACCTGCCATATATAAACTTGGGGGGCAACCAGGGTGGGGGCTAGAACCAGGAAGTGTTCTGACTACAGGCATCCTGTTAAGTCCTGGGACTTCCGGCCCCACAAGGGACTCCCACGCTCCTGGCATTCAAAGTCCCAAGCCTTTGAGGGACCCCCCTCAGTGGAAGTCCCCACAGCATTTTAACAGTCACCAAGACTCCCTCAGGTTCCAGGCTGCCAGAAACATTTTGAAATTTCTGTGCTGGCCCCTCTTCCATTCCTTCCAGTTGTTGGTTAGGTGTTTTTTTTTTTTCCTTCACTATCACCCTAAGGGGGTATCTGGAGGAAGAAGAGAGAAATGAGAGTGCTCAGTCCACTGAGCCTCCCAACCACCAGAGAACTGGGCTCACAACAAGGTGTGAGGAGGCAGCAGCCTTTGACTTCTCGGGAAAGCACTTCTAATACTGACTTTGTTAAAGAAAAGAAGCAGAAGTGAATCTTAAATTATAAATGAAAGCACTTACATTTACTGTTAATAAAAGACTACAGAATTCCTTCCCTTGGAGATTTTTAAAAAAGAATCTACATTCATTTTTCAGAGGGTTCAAATTAAGTTGTTCTTACAAACAAAAGGATATATGATAAAAGTATTCAACAGGATTAAGTTCCAAATATGTGCAGTGCATCCCATTACATACTACTGGAATTCAAGCACATGGATATAAATATTTCTGTCCTTAATCATAAATACAACCCAGGTAAAGATGAAACTTCTGAAGACTGTTATAAATATATATATATACACACACAGATTCCTATGCATTTGTCATAACTAGATTAAAGAGAGTGTTTCATTTCAGCTTTTTAGGACTCTTTCAGTTAGGTTAAAATAAGGTGAACATTAGGTTAAAATAAGAAAAATAAGTGGTAAGAACCTCAGAATATTCCCCATAATTAGAACATTTAATAAAGCCTTGGACAGTACTTATGCAAGCCCTTACAAAGAAAGAACTTTGCTATTTAATGTTCTACACATCATTACAGGGTTGCGTGTGACTCTTAATGGGGACTCCTTCATTGGACGGTTCTAAAGATTAAATGAGAAAATAGATATAAGCTTCCCAGTAGCTAGAATGTGGGTGTACAGTATCAATCAACCCTTGTACAAAGTGAAGCATTCTCTGATAATGCTCCAATCATTCCTTCTTAATGCATTCAATTACTTATATAACATGCTAACTTTCTTTTTCAGGACATATACAAAATATCCAAAATGACGTTGTAATTATAAACTACAACTCTTTGCAACCCAAATTTAGTAATAAATTTAATAAACTTGTACATCAGATCATGGATGCAAAATGATGGCCATGGATATAAAAAAAATCACAATTAGCATTTTATTAACTTGAAAAACTATAATTAGAATAAAAGTTCCAGCATATTGAGTGCACTTTTAGTCTTCCAATCTCTTAATTTCCCTTCTCTAGTTTGCTGGTTTTGCCATCATTATGGTATCCTGAAACACTGACAAACCAGGACCCCACAGAAAAAAACTACCTTATGGAAAATAATCCCTAATGTAAACTGTTAGGAGAATCCAACTCATTTTTAGCTTCTATTCCTGTTTCTTCAGATTATTATAAAATTGACCCCCATCACTATAGAACAATACAATGCAATCCCTCTGGCTAAACTCAGTAATAACATCTTAACACAATGCACAAAGAGTATTACCCCACAGTCACTTGTTGATGATTTTTATGAGCCCCAGATCAATAGGGGAGAGCCGATACACAGTGCTCACATCGATATGAATGTTTACACACACGGCTATTTCTACTTAATTTGTAACCGACACTGCACAGCATATTATAGCTCCTGTAATCTGCATTTTCTCCACATCCAAATCAAACTCCTGTTCTTAATGTTACACAGAGAAATAAGAAAAGCAGCGCTGTTGTGACAGGAACCATAAAACTCAGAGTTCAAACCAGATTCATCACACTTACATTCCAATCTGGCTTAAGCAGTTGCTTTACCACTTTACTTTTCATCACTAAGTTATTCCTACAATTCACACAAGTCACATCTTACTGGCAAATGAATTTATTCTAATAAGCTCTTAGTGTACTTTATTATGCCTGCTTAAATAAGGCAAATACCTCAGTAAATATCTGTTTGCAGTAATGTATTGTTGAGAGAATTTATTGCAATTACATAGTATTTCGTTTGTCAGCTCCTCCAAATGGCATCCAGTGCCATCAGGGGAGTAGCGGCAGGCAGCGTCCCCATCAGGGGCACACAAGAGGTGAAGTGGCACTTGCCCAGAGGTGCTGCTCCTGCTCCAAGACTCTTTTCCAGTTCCCAGTCTCACAGCCAGGCCCAGCGGCCTCCCGGTCCCCTGCGCGGCACCCTTCCCCACGGTGGCCTCGCTCAGCCTGCCACCTGTGCCCCTGGGAAACCAGAGCAACTTACAACTGCAGCACAAAGAAAAAATCCTGGGCCGAACCACCACATACATTTTAGAACCACGTTTCCTTTTGAAAAATCTCCCTTGAACACTTTTTTCTAACGAGTTACCACTCTATCTCTTTGCTCCCCTCCAAAACCAAGTATAAGCAAAGAACTTACTCTTCACACCCCCCATCAACCCAGTCAACGTCCTGCGCCACAGCCGCCAAACCACTGAACTACACTGGACTCGAAGGACCTGAACACCCTACACCGATGTCTCCGCAAGCCTCACTTTCATACTCGACCCAACTGAGCACATCTTCACACTGTCCCCTGTGGACCTGCTCGCCTCAACTTCCGACGATTTGGTGCTGCTTAGAAATCGGTCTGGGCTGGCTCTCCTTTCTCCGCACTCTGTGGTCTTTCCACGGGTAATTTTATCCATTCACATGACCTGAATCACACCAATACCAACAATGGCCAATTTCCCTCTACAAACCAGACCTGTCTTCTGAGCCTCAGAATCACAGTTTCAACTGCCTGGTTATCAGTGAGATTCAGAATCATGACATTATGACTATTCACATTTCTTTTCTGGGAACTCACTATTCATATCCCTTGTTCATTTTTCTACACACATATTCTTTTAAAAAATGTTGACTTGCAGGAACTACTCATATATTAGGTATTACTTCTTTGCTAAACATAGCAGAGCTCCTAACATCATATACAATATTCAGCATGGGCCTTTATTTATTTATTTTCTATTTTATTTACTTTTAGAGAGGGGAAGGGAGGGAGAAAGAAAGCGAGAGAAGCATGCATGGATTTATAAATTGTAACTGTTTCACTAATATTTTGTTGAAATAAAAATTATTGAACTCAGATGAGGAGCCACTGTTACTACAGATACTACATAGCCCTTCCAATAAAATACAAT